AGCGGCTAAAGCTGTTCTCTGATTGGCTGTGTAGCGACGATAATACATCCTGGACTCTCCATGCCCTGAACTCCTTAAGCAACCGGTAATTATAGTGAGTACCAATTGCGGTGGCCGATTTTGTGACGTGATTATAATAGTGTGATCAAAATATTTTTCGTTTTCACCCGCATCAATCGTGTGAATTTTGGTGTTCCTTTTATCTTTGCTTTGCGTCCAATGTGCTCCGTTCCCAGGATATAATTACCTGTATGTAAAAAATAAGCAAATAAAAATAAATTAATGAACAAATAAGGGGTAATTTTTTTATTTAATTTATTTAATAAAAGGGCCGAACGGTATTGCGCAGCAATATTATGCAGTCGCGCTGGCGAAAGACGAGTTCAGTTATTTTTGCAGCCCTCGAAGTCACCTGGCATGTTACATATAACAGACTGCAAATGGCTCTTTCAGTACAAGGTATAGCTTAATAAAACAATAAAATGACCGATGTTCTAACTTGTGAAAGTGTAAAACTGTGTGATGGTTTAATCACACGGCTGGAGGAGGCAATTGTAACTCAATTATAGCTATTATTTATACATTGTGGACGAAAATGCGTGTTTATTATTGACTTTGGCGTTCGTCGCATAGGAATCGGTCCCTGGTTGTTCACATAGGGTGCCGAGAGGTAGTTGGGAGCTGAATCTCACATGCCATTTTGAGCTCCTCCAGGAGCTCTTTTCTTTAGAGACGTGCGAATCCAAACATTGCTTTTTGTTCGGCAGTAGAATGTAAGACGAAGAAGACGGTCGACGGCCATTCCTTTCAGCTGCGCCTGTTACGGACGTTTATGCATCCGCGGAGATCGGGCTCTATTAAGAAAATAATATCATCACGATTCTTTTTTATATGTAATGTCAGGAGCACCTCGCTTGAGAACACTGTCATAGGGAGTAGCGTTAGAGTGAACTAACGTTCCGTTACTTAAGCGGAACGAAATATATCGGGTACCGTCCCATTAAGGAAGATTGGGCGCGCAGGCGACCTGGTGAATCGCAGACGCGACTAAAACGCGATTGTACGGGAGGAGAGAGACGCGTAGAAAGAACGGCACTCAAACACACGGCGTCTCTAATAGAGTTTTTCGATTAAAAGATCGTAATCTACAAGAAGTCTCCTTTTATAAAGGCCGGGATATCCATCACGAGAAAGGCACCATTCTTTTGCACGCCTTTTGTTGGACCAATGAAGGACTGGGCTCGTGATGGGTTATCGTGCCTTGGCTGCGGGTCTTGTACATATAAAATAAATTAGCTGTCGACTGTAATCTTACATGTGCACGACAAGGTGTGCGTGCGTGGGTGTGCGCTTGTTTGTGTGCGTGTATTTATTTTTACGAGTCATACTTCTTTTGTAGTCTCAGGTTGTTGTTATGTTTACTGTTGCGCATTGTATCGAGGAACCTGGAACCGAAAAAGTAACATTTCGACTAAAACATCAGGTAATGGCGTTCTATTTTCACTTAGCAAAGTATATACTTTCGTAATCATAATAAGCTGCGATTCCCTTAATGCGATACAATCGAATCACTTAGGACTTTGACCTCCACACACTGTCGTCCCATCTCGACGCGATACGCCACTGTCGCTTATACGCGTGACCAAACCTTCAGGATGTCATAAACCGAGTAGTTATGTTTACCGCCGTTACATATCGTGTCGAGGAAAATGGAACCGAAACGTCGCATTTCCAGTTAAGCACCAGCTGAACCGGGATTCCATTTTTTTCACCTAGCGAAACATTTATTTTTTCTAATCATAAATTCCGTTCCTCTACATGCCACGCTATATTGAATAACGTCGGGGTCGGACCAATCGCGCACAGCAGCCAGACCCATTTTTCTCCACCCGTTCTGCCCAATCACAATCGCATCCTCTCAACGCTAAACCCCATTGTCGTATTCACGTATATCCAAAGCTTTAGGCTGACATAAACGGACTCAAGTATAGCACGGCTCATTGTTTCTGTCTCGCGATTGGACACCCTGTTTTATATTTTTTTTTTATTCTCGCGCCTCTATTGTTTTTTGCAGATCCTTCGGAGAGTCAGTGATTGCGATCTAGAGAAAAAAACTCGTCAAGATGACGGCGAATGCAGTCCGCGATGTGGCACCGGGCCATGGCGTTGCACATACTCACCCCATATTCATTATTAGAATTCCAGACTGCACTTTTAAGTCTAAACTGGATTGACCGTTTCACATTCTGCTCGACCGCAGCTAGTGTTTGTGCGTTTCCTATCGTCGGCTAAACACGTCTCTGTGCCTGACTGGTTTAGTCGGTGATGTAGCAAATCCACAAAAACGCGAGTGCCGTGACGATGCACTTTTCGCACTGTCCGATTGGCTACATCGGATCGCATAGCCTTGGCTGCGGTCGGATCAAAATGCGAAACGGAGCGCGGGACTGTGGGAATAAATGTTCGACTCGAATGGCGTAGTGGTCCCACGCAAACAAAGTTCGGCCCGAATCACTTCAGCGCATTGGATATTAAAAAGAGTGTTTTTCGTTTTTAAGTTTCTTTTTTTTTTTATGTTGGAGGAGCATATTTCGCCCAAAAAACCATAGCAAAGAAGAAAAAAAAAAGTAGTCCGGCTTTTGGCGGAATTCGACTAATTTCGCCTCCGTGCGTTGGATTAATGTATATCTAGGTTCGTCCTAGATTAGCCTTACGTAATTTCATCGAGACGTAGATGTTTCCAACGAAAAAAAGGGATTCTTTTCGAAAATGAAAATCGAAGAGGGGATTCGTTCGACAATGAAATCTTGTAAGAACGGCTTCGCGCAGCGCATGAGTAATGCGCTGCGCTGATAGATATTCAAATTGTGTATCTTAAAAGAAAAAGAAAAAAAGCACAGTTTTACTTAAGATTTCACCAACATTACGTTAAAACATGTAACAGTAGCACGTCTGGAACTGTGACACTAACGGGTTTTTGTTAAATCAGGTTTTAGTCCGAGTATTAAAGAAGAAATATAATATAACCTTCTTCTCAGCTTCTTAGTACAGTGCGCGACACTGTTAGTGCGAATATCGCTAACAGTTTTACCGCTTAGGCTCTTTCCCAAAAGGTGCACATAACACCACGCTAGCCTCTTCAAAATTTTTTATTAACGTTTTTTTTATTTTTAGGAAAAAAAAAAAAGAAATCGGCGATCGCTTGTTCGTGGTAACAGTGTCGTGCTGTGGTCTTTCACAACGCAGGTTTGGGAGTGCGGCAAGGTGTGATGTGACCTAGACACGGCTAAACTTAAAAATGAAACCCGAACGTCAATGGGAAATACACTATTCATAGGTCATCTTGGTAGGAATGTGTATCTTTCGAAAAAAAGAGAAAAAAAAAGGGTTTAAAAAGTTACTATGTTAACGCGCAGTATACGTTTGCTCTTTCTTTTATGTGAACGATGCCGGAGCATAATTTAGCTCTTAATTAACAAAGTGTCACGCGCATCGAATGCAAAATATTTCAATTTATGTTTGAGACATTTGTTTTTGCAAGCAAAAGACTGGCTTTCACAATCGTTTTTGACTGACCGTCCCTTTTGTGATTTACTTTTCACATGGTAGCGGTTGTAATTCGAGCTTCAAGATAACAGGAAAAAGAAAATACCTCTAAAACATGTTAAAAAAAGTTATAAAAAAACTTCATTCTAGATACCCGTGTAACGTGAAAATATTGCTATAAGTATAAAAAATCGTCGGAACAGCGTAGTATTCATTCCTCAGGTACCTAGGTTCTAACTGTTAGAAATGCCGGAGTTACGGATTCATACTGCTTTGAACTGTGCAACCTCTTTTGTTAAGATGGGAGCCAAAACATTTCAGGACCTTACATCACCGTCATTACTTTGTTCTATTATTCAAATTCAGTTTTTGTTTTCTAAATTCACAAAACTCAGAGGAAAACAAAAGTGAAGTAGAACGAATGTAGGGGATAATTATTATGGGCATCTCAACTTCTATTTTATGGCAACTCTTATGTGGCATGACTTCCAACAATTACTGATTAAAGTAAGAAACGCATTGTGCCTGAAGCAAGCATGACATCTGAATATTGGAGAAAAACACGAAGATAAGCCGAAATTTATTTTTCCACACCAATGTTTGTATATGTCATTGACATTTAACCATGGTTCAATACTCGCCGCAGTGGGTATAGCGTTAAAATGAAGAAAAAAAAAACATTTTGTGTTAACAGCAGTGAAACTACAAGTGAAGAAATATTGAGAGAAAGTTTGTGGAATCTAAAGATAATATCTGTCCTGTCAATTTCAGAATGGAATATAAAAACATCACTGACTAGGCGTAATTCCTGTAAAAAAAGAAAAACACACAAAAAAAAAACGTAGGCATGATCGAAAACAAACAAACAAAACCTACGTAGGTAAAACGTGCTTCGCGGCGTGACAGCTTAAATATTTACGTAATCAGCCAACACCCATACAGCCGAAGGGAAAGAAACGTTGGCACTAAGACCCCTCCTAACAATGAACTCAGAAATGACTTACAAAATGCTAACCGCATTGAGTCCTATCAACGCGAAATGCCAATCCCAAATCTCGCACATTGTGCAAGAGCTTTGGAACGGAGCATTACATTGCTGGTCAACAACGTGCAGCTCCGTCGGCGGACAAGATCTCGACCCCACCGTCTCATGAGTTTGGACCTCAAGACTGCACCCGCCAAAAAACGTAACATTAAAGGAGCTTTAATCGACGACAGACCGCGTTCGTGTTTTCTTGCCAGCACGAACAAAAACGCAGGTGGCCTAACCGCTGCCATTGGCTCGCTCTGCAGTCAGTTCCCGCAGCCGCCGAACTTCCCAGCCACATTCTCCCTCAGCTAAGCTTGCCTTTAGCAAAGACGTTATCAGTAACTTTAGCAGGATACGCAGTAAAGAACTATGCACCGACTAATGAAGGTTGGAACAAAGCGAACGCTTCTAGGCAGACGCTTACCTTGCAGCCCTAGTACGTGGACGCTGCTGCAGCCATTGGACGAGCCCGGCTTCTAGACGTTCCCCGCAGTGTCGTCGACGGGTGTTACCGAACGCTGGGAGTTCGGCGATCGATCGGGACACCGAGGCATGCTGGGAGCGGCCGCAGGGGCTCGCCGCCCGACGCCGCCGCCGCCGGCGTCGCCACGGGTCCAGTCTGCCAAAAAGGTTGAACATAAAGAGCCTTAATTTGAAAGGGGAAGCAACGTAAACCAGGGAAGCGCTCTCGTCATTTAATGGCGGATGCCTTCTGCGCCGATTGGGTGCACGTGCGCATGCGTGCACCGTCGCGCGGAGAGGAGGTCAGCGGCTGGAGAGCTGGAGAAAGCAAGAGAAGACGCTTGCAAACGATCGACGCTTTCGGCCTTCTCCGCGTGCTCTACATTGCAAACGCGGCCCATAGACCACGTGACTCCAATCGGCTAGTTGGGATCACTCCCATATCTAAGCGCTCTAACGAGAAAAGGTTAAAAGTCGAAAAACAAGGACGGCAGACATTCGGGGATTAGCCAAACAGCGTCGGTCTGGGGCCGAGACCCGGCGTCTTGATGTCGGCACCCCTTGCGGATTTTAGGATCCGCAAGCTGGAACTCTTGTGTGAGAAGATTGCGCGGTGTGTCCGCGGAGGGTTGATTTTAGTGCGGAGTCTCGTCGGGAGTGTGTGTTGACGGCTGCTGGGGTCGTGTTTACGGTTTGATTGTACGCGGAGGTCGGGTTCAATTGGGTCAGAGATTTGCCGTTTGAAAGTACCAGGTTTTGAGCTGAAGCCAAGTAAGGGGAGCAGGGCAATTTAGGACATAAACGGAGTTATAAAATAAATAAAAAAAGAACAAAGGGGAATCGAAACAAAGTTGTCCTGACCGTAGTTCGCCAACGGCGATTTGAGCGCCTCCTGGTTTCGAATGGCGAATCCACTCGCGCGTCTGCAGGAAACATACTGTATGTCCGTCATGTTTATGTTGTCTGTCTTCGGGCTATGAGAAATTAATTCTGAAATGACAGCGTCTTCTTCAGTTGCATGAGAATAAACACCTTAAACGACATATTATGCGCACGAACGTCAGTATACATGGGTTGCACGTGACGTGATTCAAAAGGCGCTACGATGACCACCAGAGAGGAGGGCAAGAAGAAGCTCCGCTCTTATCAGGGCCCCCTTTTGTGCCTCCCGGATTGGCACAGTCGTCCCTATTCTCCCCCCAGAAGATTATAGAAGATTAGCCCATCACTCAAAATTCTTACAAAAGCAGCTTCCCTCTCCTCCTCTTAAATGGAGGCCAAAAATATGCGACGTGACGTCAGTGCAACCCATGTGTAGGAAGTAGTTTGCCATTTTGGTACCTTTTGGAGTGCAGGTTACGTAGCCCCCAAAGACGAGATTTAGTCACGTATTTTTTTTTCTGAGAAATTGATTTAAGATGCTAGCTGGTTTGCTGGCTGATAGCGCCAAACGTTTACGGAGAACCTCCACGCGACCGTGCCTGGGTGCTGATATTTTTCTTGTTTCATGCTGAATATTTCATTTGATGCGTGATCCGATAGGCAATGGCGAAGTGAAGATCTACGCAACCACTGGGCATGCCAGTTGCGAATCGGTGGCTTTGCTTGGCACCTGTTACGAGTTTGAGCGTGAGTTCTAAGTGAAGACAGAAATACGACTGAGCATCATAATAACGGCAAAACAAAAAAAAAGTGTTGGAAGCGCAATATTCAATATCCGTTTGCTCACGCAGCTTACAACATCACGTTGAGTGCATTCATTCTAGCCACGAATATCGTGCCCGGAAGCCGTTCCTGACTGGTGCGTTTGCCATGTCATAGCCTCCTCCGTACTCACAAAGCCTGGCAATTCGGTGACGGAGCCATAGAGTGCCCGTTTGCAGATTTAGAGCGCGAGGATCTGGTAGCACAAAGCATTTCTCGGAGAACTTGGACGTCAGCGCACAGCATTTGCAACGGCAAGGACCCAAAACATGGTTTTCAAACTCTACGAGAAACGAAGCGGTAGCGCGAGGAACACGAGGAGCACGGGCGGACATTCCATCGCTCGGGAGAATTGCGTTTCGACGTCTCGCCACAGCGGGGCGCCCGCCACGTGGCTCTCATCTCATCCGTTGTTTACCGCACTACCTTTTCAATAGACAATTCGCTAAATCCCCCAAGCGCCCCGGCCCGTACTCGGGGAATCATGGGAACGGTGTTTCTTCAGCTCCCTAGTGATCGATAATTTTGACCAATTCCATGGCTACAAAGGTTTGAGTGTAATTTGGAGTCACCCTGAAGAAGCGTCGTATAAAACCCAGGGACCTGCATATCAGTTTTCAAATTTCTCGTTAATGTCAGCGTTTTCGATACCGTGCGTGCTGTCCACCCTTCAATCTCCCTACTAAGAAATCTCACTTGTATGAGAAATACCTGTGTCTAATTAACACATATGAATCATACAAGATATATAAGAACATATCAGAGCCATAAAAGAACCATATAATAACTATAAGAGAAATATATAAGATATAAGTACATATAAGAATCATATAAGAAACTTGAGAGAAGTTTCTTATATATTTCTTATATGGTTCTTATATGTTCATGTACACCTTATATAGTTCTTGTATAGTTCTTATATGGTTCTTTTATGTTCTTATATATCTTGTATAATTCATATATGTTCATTGAACAAAATAAATTTCTCATACAAATGCCTTTTTCACTAGGGCAGAATGAGCTGCAGACATCTCTTACATTATTGCCATTCTCGTACAGCTTAAGAGACGCTGATATTAAGTTAGAAACACCAAAAATGCGATAAACAGCCCCGCTGACTCCGAGCTAAGTCCTGGTTATTGTTGATGTGATTTCTCGGCTTTTTAAGCAATTCCTGCAAAAACAACAATCACGATAACGATAATATTGAAAGAGATTTCTGCGGCTCAGCAAAGTTGAAAGGCATGCACGGTATCATAAACGCTGACATTGACGAGAAATTTTAAAAGTAATATGACAGGTCCTTGGGCTCTATACGACGCTTGCTCAGGGTGACTCCGAATTACACTCAAAACTGTGTAACCATGGAATTGGTCGAAAAACCGATCACTAGGGAGCTGAAAGAACACAATTCCCATGATTCCTCGAGTGCGGGCCGGGGCACTTGGTAGATTTAGCAAATGCTCTATTTCGGCGGCCGCTTCTCGTGGCGATCTGTCAGGCTTGGGTCAGTATAGAGGAGGCTATGCCGTGTACCAAAACGTTGTCCCTCGATTTTCGCCCTATGACGACATAGATGTGTCACGCTGTCGTCAGCCCCGATCCTGCAGCGGTGTTTCACAGATGCGCTGGCGGATGCGGCCGGCGCCTGTTCTTTTGCAGGTGGCTCTCCAGATTGACTATAGTCCACGGGAGTTTCGGCAGCCAGAAGTTGGGACGCCGCGACACGACAGCGACATTCGCGTCCTCTCGTACTTATTATTATTTTTAATTCCTTCGTCCAACCGGCAGGATCACGGCATCCGACAGCCCGACACGCCGGCTTTTGTGTCGTTAGTTGTTGCCACTTCGGAACCACGTTTTATGTATGGACGGAACAGGATGCTAAACACACCAGTCGGAGAAGTGTTCCAGGTACCGTGGCCATAAACAAAGGTCAGTGTTCACCGGTTGGAACATCATCTATGAACTCACTTGTCCACCCAAAAAGAGGGTAGTCAGCCGCTGCCATCTAATGAGTATAATCAACAAATTGCAAAGCAAAGCAAAAAATAAACAGCCGAGGAATTTTTGTTTAAGTTCTAAGACTACGAATGACGTACATACCATACATGTGTATGTCACGCACAGTGTTTTCAGTGCAAGCCTAACTTTTCCGAGGAATCGTCTTCAGTTTTTCAATTCGCCGAGTTCCCTCCAGGGATGGCGACGACTGCCTCTTATCGCATACCGCAGAGAAGCAGGAGCACGAGCAATATATCCGAGACTGTACCGAGACATAAATTAAAGAATGTAAGATCGAGTTAAGTTTGCAGAGCATTTTCATATACAAACACTCAGTGAAGCAGAGCACTGCTACTGTGCCGAGATGTAAGCGGAGTACAAATCTGCCATCACCGTGCTGAGGGATAAACGGTAGAATAGTTCAACTTCATTTGGACCATAGTATACATTCTCTTTCGATTGTTACCTAGTCTATAAACATACCGTTTTGTTGGCGGAAAAATAAACAGGCCAACAACCAGTTTCAACCACACTTAAAGGGAAGCTTAAGAGGTCCCTGAGTTCGAAAATAACTGTAAAAGTTTTGATGTAGGAGCCTTAAAAATGATGTGTACTAACTTTCTTTCGAAGCTATTAGCAAGAGCGTCGTAATCACAGATTAAAATTTCGACGTAGCCCCGCCCGTTTTTGCGCGCCCAGCGCACTTAAACGCAAAAACGAAAAAAAAAAGAGAAGAAATGAGCAAGAGGGATGTCATGGGCTGGGTCAGATGTCCCCTGCTCGCCACTAAGCTGACACGGGGATGCGGACAAGTGCGTCACGACGCTTTCGACAGAAAAGGGGAGTCAGAAAGGCTTGCCGCATGCCCCGCGGCAGTCACTGCACGTATTTCCCAGAATAAATGCGCTTTACGTTTACGTCTGCCCAAGGTAAATAGAATAACTCAATTCAAGAAGAAACAAAAGAAAAAAAAAACTGTACAAGTTTGTTCCTTATTCAGATTTCTTGAAAAGGGCTTCAGCTTCCCTCGAAGGCTGTTTGGTTGCAACCCAGTGCGTTGTCGGTAACCTTGCGCTGACTTGCGAATGCTTACTATGAGAAAACCGAATGGCGTGATCCATCGGGTATCACTGAAGAACTTACTATTCTCGTATATTTCTCATTTGCTTTAGCGTGTCGTTCTTTCAAGATGGGCTTGAAAATTTTTTAACGACGTTATAACGAGACAATTTATCGTAGATACTACGTAACGTTGATCTTGCAAATATCGTAAAACCTTTCCTGTTGTTAAACGCAGTTCTAGGACTCCGAAACTAGTTTCCTCCGAAGGAGGTGAGCCGGGGTTCTCTCAATGATTTGTCTGCATGACTCCCGAATCGCTTAGATCACAATGCAGTGCAGCGAAGCCGCGAGTCACCGGGCAAGTCCTGCGTTTGTCCCACG